AAGAATCTTGTCAAAACATGTCTTCCAAGTTTTGGGTTGTTTCAGAAAAATTTGGTCACTGAACATTAAACACCACAATACCTAGGCTTATTAACCAAACCACTGACATCTAATAGAAAATACGATCTGGTATGTATCAAAGTAATGGAGTTTCCAGTCTACTGTTTTAATCCTGTTTCAAATAATAGTCCATTGTTCTACTTAGCTGATACTAAGACAGTGTTACTTTAACATTGTGAATTATTTTATACCACTAAAATAAAACATGGATCAATGAAGTAGCTCTGTCTCCAGAACTTCAGTTTTACTCAGTAGCACTAGGCACATGTACCTAATCAATACCAACAACATAACTAGAAATTCAGTTCCTCAGTCAGACTTAGTCCCATTTCAATGCTCAATAGTGAGGCTGCTGTATTATGTATATATACTATATTTCTGTCATCACAGAAACTGAACAACTGTTCCAGACTTCAACCCATACTCTTGTAACTTTAAGGCAAAATATAGAAAAAATTATTAGCAATAGCAGCATTCTAAGAGTTGTCTCTCTCCTCCTTCCTTTAAATTTGGCTCCCATGGAATCAAGCTCAAGATCAGAGTAATTCTTACAATAATTTCAATACAGACTAATACAGAAATTAAAATATCTGGCACAGATGACAATGATCAACACAATTTTTTGTGTGTAAAAACAAAGCAGGCCAATAGGAAGGTAATTGTGCTTTCAGTAGTTTCAAGTTTAGAGGTCAATTTAAAAAAAAAAGTTAACAACAAAATAGAAAATACTCAGCAAAATTGAGCTACTGGATATTAAAATACAGACCAGTTAGCTAGTCAGTGTTTTAGAATATTTGATGCACCGTTACAGATTACTTAAGACTATTGTTGCCGGGCGCGGTGGCTCACGCCTGTAATCCCAGCACTTTGGGAGGCCGAGGCGGGTGGATCACAAGGTCAGGAGATCGAGACCACAGTGAAACCCCATCTCTACTAAAAATATAAAAAATTAGCCGGGCGCGGTGGCGGGCGCCTGTAGTCCCAGCTACTCAGGAGGCTGAGGCGGGAGAATGGTGTGATCCCGGGAGGCGGAGCTTGCAGTGAGCCGAGATCGCGCCACTGCACGCCAGCCAGGGGGACAGAGCAAGACTCCGTCTCAAAAAAAAAAAAAGAGTATTGTTTATATTGACTTTATGGTTTGAAAGCATGAATATTCCTATAAACAGATATTTTTAAAGAGAGGCTTATGTTCTCTAAATTCAGAATTAAATAGAAATTAAGTACCTAATGATAATTATGTAATGATAAACTAACCTTGTGATATTTAGTTTTCCCCGAATGCAGAATACTCCAGCAGCATCTGAGTCTAAACGAAATACTTCAAATTCTAGTTCATCACCCATGTTTATCTCCATGGTTAGCCACTGCTCAGCTGACAACTGCTCAGGTTTAGGAATGGAGGCATTGAAACACCCGTGTACTAAACAGCCAATGTGGCTAGAAGACACTTTATTAACTATACCCTGGGAAGAAGAAGGAAGAGCGTAACATAAAGAACAGATCCACAAAGTTAAAAGGTGAACCAAACTTTACAAGCTTCAAATAATCTTCAAAGAGCAAACATCAAGTTAATGGTCTAATTTAATATGGAAAAAGTTTACCTCAATTAAAACTTACCCCATGTCATGCCAAAACATCACTTTAGAATACCTTTGGGTTTTGAGAAAGCTCAAACTTTATTATATAAGTAATTGCACATTAACTGCCTAACTGGATAAACTAACCTGCCCCCGCCACCCTGTCCAAGAAAAAAACCACCTAAACCCCCCACTGCAGGATTCCTTGGGGAGGAGATTATTACTCTTTAGCTACATTGAAACCATGCAGAAAATACTCCCATATAACCTATAAAAAGACCTCATATGTGTTTTATAACTGGGATCTATGTTATGTTTCTGTAAATAGACCAAATTTCAAAGCTTAAAAATGCATTCTTTATTTAATTTAGCATGATGCAAGCATTCCATTAGAAGACAGCTTACCCTTTATATGTAAATATTGACCATGACTATTTTTGGCTAAATCACAAAAGTATTATTAGAAGCTTTAAAACTAAAACAAAAATATGTGCTATATGATTTTAAGATGAGACTCTACATAAAACTTATTTTTCTTCTCAGGGTCAATATATACAAAGCATATGAATGAGACCCAGAAATATTAAAAATACACATTTTCTGAATTACAAAACTGCAAATAATACTGACATATATATAATGCTGTTTAACATCAGCAACCCTTTACACATGTGACATAATAAAACTTCCCTATCTGGTATGGTCAGAAGTCTAGTGTTCCCACTGGTAGTTTCCAGATGGTCTAGATAAACAAACTGGTACATCCATAAAATAAAAGATTATTCAGTAACAAAGATAAATAAGTTCTCACCATAAAAAGACATAGCGAAACCTTAAATGCATATTGCTAAGTGAAAGAAGTCAATTTGAAAAGGATACATACTCTATTCTTCTTTAAAAAGGCAAAACTATGGAAACAGTAAAAAGATCAGTGGTTGCCAGGGATTAGAGGGAACAGAGGGAAGAAGGAAGACATGAATAGATGGAGCACAGGAGTTTTTAGGAGAGGAAAACTATTCTGTATCATACTATAATGGAAGATAAGTTGTTGGGATTCACTCATGAAAGTGGCAGAAATATTAAAGGGAAATATTAGGGAAAGTTATAGGGAATAGTCACAAACCTTTTTGGAAGGCCAAAAGGTTATATAGCTTGTAATAATTGAACAGGCTGAAGACAGCCGGTTCTTACCTTAGAGCATTAAGTTATAGGGTAAATACTAGGGACAATAGAGGCTTCCCCAGTTAAGTCTGTTTACCCTACCTCCATTAACTAACCTTTAAGTCAGATGGCCCTCTGGGGGTGGGGCGGGGGGAGGTCGCCCAGAGATATTGCCCCCTAATGACATTTACTTTAAACCTCAGTACCTGAGCTTTAATTATTTGTAGAACTACTCTCTTGACCATGTTAATTATCCACAACTGTGTGGACTCAGAACTTCTATTGTTAACTGTATACTAAATAAATGCCTGGAGTGTGAACTGCTCAGGGCCAGTGGCAGGGACAAACCTCTCTCGGTGTGTAGGCGGTCGGACACTCAGCAGTACTGGCAAAACAGAATATCTGTGTGTCAGTGAAGGTTTTATTCATCCGTCTTTTAGGTCAGGGTCTGCGGGCAGACCCTGTATTTTTGGAGACAGGGTCTCACTGTTGCCTAGGCTGGAATGCACTGGCACAATCATAGCTCACTGCAGCCTTGAACCCCTGGGCTAAAGTGATCCTCCTACCCCAGCCTCCTAAGTAACTGGGACTACAGATGCATGCCACCATGCCTGGCTAATGTTTTATTTTGTGTAGAGATGAGGTCTCACTATATTGCCCAGGTTGGTCTTGAACTCCTGGCCTCATGTGATCCTCCTGCTTTAGCTTCCCCAAATGCTGTGATGGTAGGTGAGCCACTGTACCTGGCCTACATGTTTATATTTAAAATAATAATTTACACAAAGTAGATGAAAGTTAAGTTTCTTAATTTCCAAATACACATCTACTGCCAACTTCAGTAGTCCAGTTATAAGATTCCAGTTTAACAGGCAAAGGATACTATTTGTATTAATTCGATATTGATAAATGAAAAAAATTGGAAGTGCCTTCTGGGTTTTGTCATGGTTCAATTGATCTATATTTTTATGAACAATATCAAGGGTTAACAGTTCTGATCTATTAGATTAAAATATTTATCAGCTGAAGAAAAGAGCATATACACCCACATATGAGTATACATATGGACATGTGTATACACAGAGAACTGCTGGAGGAAGACAGGAGAAAGTAAAGAGTAAAAAAGGATCTATTTCAGTAGATTTCATATCAATATCTGCATTTCCAGCTTATGAAAAACTGGAAGACCTTTCCCACAGAGATTCCATTTCCAAGGCACAGACTGGCTGTCCTGTCCTCTGTCATTCACACATTTTCATTATTGCCTGGCCCATTTGAATTCCTGTTTTATATACTGCTATATATTCTTTGAAACCTTTGTAAAGAAATGGTATTTGTGTAGAATTGAGAACTTTTGAAATAATGATAATTGATTTTTTCCCCTTAAAATCATTCTGTGACTATGAAAATAATAAAGTGGATGGGACATATATTCTGTGCATGCATGTGTTTTAGGAGGATATTAAAAAACTTACCTAGGTTTGGATGATACAAATTATTTTTTCCATAAAAATATTTATTTACTCACAATAGCAATTTATTTGAGTCCCAAGGTATATATTACCTTTTAAAATGTTCCAAGTTACATAATTATAGAATTGTACAAAGGGAGCTAGAAAAAAGGGATACACATACCATAAGCTTTTGCCCCGGTTCAGGGCAGAAAATAACAAAATCAGCTTCAATGTTAAGATGAATGTGTCCTTGATCATCATAAATATCTCCAAGTTCTCCCACAACTTTGATGTTATCATATGCAATAGGGACACCTAAAAGGCTGTAAAAAGAAAAAGTTGAAAATGATATATTTTATCCTCTTTTACTTATTTATTTTTTTGGAGACAGGGTCTTACTCTGTCACCCAGGATAGGGTGCAGTGACCTGAACAGGGCTCACTGCAGCCTGGACCTCCTGGGCTCAAGTGATCCTACTGCCTCAGCCTCCCAAAGTGCTGAGATTATAGGTGTGCACCACTGCACTCTTTTAAACCAGGCCATTTTCATACTGATTAGATATTCTAAGAGTCCAAAGCCTACACATCTCCTAAATACACCACGCATGTCAAAAACAATAGTATATGATTAGTCTGTAACAACTTTAGTAGTCCTGTTTCACCAATGGATTCTGATGTGTTGGCTAAGTTAAAATGATGATTCAAGATACACAGAAACAAAATATGCATTAATGCATGAGCAGTAAATCAACTCTTCTTCCCTTGCCAACTCCCATTCTTTCTGTTCTAGCATGACTATTTGAATTTTTCAAGTTATACTAGGATAGAAAGAAAGGACTTAGCAAAGAAAACGTGTATCTCTGTGAGCATGACTGAACAAGAGGCAATTTTGGTATTATTCACCATTACTGAATTTCAGTACTTGACGGCATATAGCAAGGGAAGCATTACAGTTAAAGCTGAAGCCCCTGAATTTTATTTTATTTTATTTTATTTTATTTTATTTTTTTTTTTTTTTTTTTGAGACGGAGTCTCGCTATGTCTCCCAGGCTGGAGTGCAGTGGCGCGATCTCGGCTCACTGCAAGCTCCGCCCCCTGGGTTCACGCCATTCTCCCGACTCAGCCTCCCAAGTAGCTGGGACTACAGGCGCCCGCTACCACGCCCGGCTAATTTTTTGTATTTTTAGTAGAGATGGGGTTTCACCATGTTAGCCAGGATAGTCTCGATCTCCTGACCTCGTGATCCACCCGCCTCGGCCTCCCAAAGTGCTGGGATTACAGGCTTGAGCCACCGCGCCCGGCCACCCCTGAATTTTATTTTATTTTATTTTATTTTTTAATTTATTTATTATTATTATACTTTAAGTTGTAGGGTACATGTGCATAACGTGCAGGTTTGTTACATATGTATACTTGTGCCATGTTGGTGTGCTGCACCCATCAACTCGTCATTTACATCAGGTATAACTCCCAATGCAATCCCTCCCCCCTCCCCCCGCCCCCCTCCCCATGATAGGCCCCGGTGTGTGATGTTCCCCTTCCTGAGTCCAAGTGATCTCATTGTTCAGTTCCCACCTATGAGTAAGAACATGCGGTGTTTGGTTTTCTGTTCTTGTGATAGTTTGCTAAGAATGATGGTTTCCAGCTGCATCCATGTCCCTACAAAGGACACGAACTCATCCTTTTTGATGGCTGCATAGTATTCCATGGTGTATATGTGCCACATTTTCTTAATCCAATCTGTCACTGATGGACATTTGGGTTGATTCCAAGTCTTTGCTATTGTGAATAGTCCCGCAATAAACATACGTGTGCATGTGTCTTTATAGCAGCATAATTTATAATCCTTTGGGTATATACCCAGTAATGGGATGGCTGGGTCATATGGTACATCTAGTTCTAGATCCTTGAGGAATCGCCATACTGTTTTCCATAATGGTTGAACTAGTTTACAATCCCACCAACAGTGTAAAAGCGTTCCTATTTCTCCACATCCTCTCCAGCACCTGTTGTTTCCTGACTTTTTAATGATCGCCATTCTAAGAGTGCATCTCCCCCGGCAAAGCAACGCCCCTGAATTTTAAAGTCAATGACTTAATGGAGAAAATCCCAAACTTAAACTGTTGCTAGTAAATGCAAATGTTAATACAACTACATTTAGGAACTGACTCTTGACACTTTAGTCTACAAATGTAACAGTCAGGATTAAGGGACAACTATTTTTCAAACTGTCATTTCTTAGTTCTTAAGGAATTATAGCTATTAAGGAGAAAGACCTAGTGGTGGTAGGCGGAGGGTGCAGTGAGCTCAGATCTCACCACTGCACTCCAACCTGAGCGACAGAGGGAGACTCCATCTCAAACAAAGGAACAAGAAACAACAAAACAAACACAACCTGGTGGCTTCATTACTTGTTGGAAAACATTTCCCTGACTCCCCTAGGCAAACCTGAAATCATTCCTCTACTCCTATAGGCCAGCTTTCTCACTGTTCTTAATCTAACTGTATTGAACCTATCTGTATATATGTTTGAATTTCACACATGACTCTAAGGCCTTTGATAGCAAAGAATATTTTTTCTTGAACTCAATTAAACTTCTAACACAATTCACATAAAATAAGGGAAAGCATTTATCCCTAATAGTTGTTGTTTACTAAAACAGCCAGAAGCCACAGAAAATAAACTTTAAGAACTACCAAATTAGGAAAATCCTAACTCAGAGACTTACTCGGGAAAGCAATCTTCTGAGGTTTTCATTTCTGCATGTGGCATTTCTAAGCTGGAATCATCCTATCACTAAGACAATGTTAGGGACACAGAAAACAGAGTCAGAGAATAGGAAGAAAAATTAACTGCCATACTAGACAGAAAAACAAATATTAAGACTTTATTTCTCCTAATCAAAGCCGTGTCTGGAAGGAGGTCTGTGGTCCCCTGGTGGGAGGGGGGACATTTGGAAATTTGTGATACTAATCATGGTTATCACAAACTTTGCACAAGCCAGGGCAGAAAAGAGTCTGTCATGTACAGGACAGTCGGTACAATGAGGAAATATCCTTAGCTCTGACTTTTGAATAAAAGGACAAATCTGTTTACAAATAGCTAGGAACCTAATTTAACTCTTAACATCAACACACAGCCATCTTTGCATATTTTTAATCTATATTAAATTGTTCAGGAATTTAGCAATATATAAATTCAAGGGGGATTTTGTTAAGAGTCATCAGATATGTGAACACAGGCACCCAACACTATATACTTTTTCCTTCTTCACTTTTGTTTTTCAGATACCATCCTAAATAGGTATCAGGGCAAGATGGTAGCCTCACTTTAGTTCTTTAATACTGTATGTTCAATGTTTTGTCCCTCATTAGTAATGCATAGTTCAAAGTGTGGTGCCTGATTTTCACCTGGTGCATAATTTCACCAGGGGTCTTCAGCATATCCAAGTAATATGAAAGGAGTGGTGGCCAGATCTGTTCAGAGTCACTCCGCGTGATTTCGTTATTTCCCGCCCTAGCCTGTCAAATGCAGGCAATACAAAACGGTTACAGAAAACAGGATGGTTGCTTGTGTTTCCAGATGTTATGACTACTTTGTATATCCTTTAATCTCTCAAATCCATCCTCTCTAATCATTTTCTCTTGAACAATTATAACATGATCTTAATTCCTCTCCTTGTCCACTTTCTCATCCTATTTGGTAGCTAACCATTAAGTAAGGCTAACAAGTACTGTTTCTTAAACTGCAAATCTGATATGCCAGGAACTGCAGATAAGTACTGCTTTCTCAAAAGTGTACCAAGTCTCAGAGTTAAAGGGTACTGAGAGGATGAAGCACTAACCCTGCCTATGAAAACAGAAACACAAAAGGAAAAACAACAACAACCCCACCTTACCCCCAAAAGAACAAAAACTGGCAATGACAGGAAGGGAAAAGCAAAATGGCCATCCTCTCTGAGTCACCCCTGCCCTCGTCTCCAATGGCATCCAATGCCTTTCCCCTGACATAAACCTTATTCTAATTATATAATAGATACGGTTCTCTGGGCAAAGCATACCGGTTCACATCCAGTATCCGTTTGTTTATGCCACTCTTTGCCTGGAATGCTACCATGGGAAAGTACCGTCTTCACTCAAGTTGTTCTCAGAGGTCCCAAGATCCCAATTCAACACTCCTTATCTTGTTAGATTTCTGTCAAATTTTAACACCTTACTATTTATTGGCTTGTATTTGTACCTCTACTACAGCTTAAAGCTCCTTGAAAGAGGGATTTCATTTTTTGTTTGTTTTTGTATCTCAAGTGTTCGGTATATAATATAAACATACGAGAAGTGTATATTGGTGCTTGGAAGAAGCTGTATATTCTGGAGATGCTTGATTATTATCCTGTGTGTGGAGGTCAAGGATCCCTTAAGTAAGTGATAAAAGCTTCCGATACAGTGCCCAAGGAACTTCACATAAGAATTCCTGAAGGACAGTCATGAATCCCTAAAGAATCCATTCACTCTAGTATTAGAACCTCGCTTTTGAACCAAAGTATAGTCCAGAGGAATACTGAAGCACATGCCCGCGCCCCCCGCCACACACCTCTGTAATTCTGTTTTCAAGGCACTTTTGAATACCGTAATATAAATGCATACCTTTTGTTTTTTTCTCTCCCAAAAGCAACAGGCTCATTAGTTCGATTGAATAAATCGTCTTAAAAACAACTCAGGTCCAAAAGAAGAGAAAATGGGGAAATTACCAGATTGAAATACAGTAAGAAAAAAACGTGCTTCACGTTTTACAGGTAGAACGGTTGTACTAATGCTTCATGTGCAATCTTCGATGGAATGAGAATCTACTTAAGCACTGCAAACCAAATTTTTATCGTCAAATGAGAAAACATCATCCGGAACGGGATAAATGAAACGTTGAATGCCAAACAGAACTGGGCCTACTAGGTCTCCAGACCCCTGGTCTGTTCCTACCCCTACACCAGGATTCTGGAGCGAGAATCTCCACTCCCTCCGCCGACACCTGAACTTCATCTTTAAGTTTTCTTCTCTATCTATGAAAGGGACCCTATAAAGATCTTCACCACAGTGGTACTGGCCTTGAGGGGCGGATCGCGACTCTAGAATTCCACGGGGCTAAGCTCTGGGGGGGCAATGCGACCTTTACTATTTGCCCCCTTTCTGCTGCGTTGTCAGCATATCTACCTGCTGCTACTTCCCGTGCACAAAAGAAGGAACAGGCAAAGAGATCGGTACCTCTCAGAATAGCGAAGGAGCTCCGCATCAAGCTGTTCTCGAATGCCAGTGCGTTTCCTGTTCAGGTAGCGGGGAGACAGCGCGATGTGCCTTTGGTGCGGCCCAGCCACCAGGCATGAGTAGCGACTGTTCACCAGCGCACAAGCAGCGGCATAAGTCGGCAACTCTAGGCAAGGCAGGACGCCAGCCTGCCCTACCAGAGACCCATCAGAAGCCGCCGTTGGCCGCGGCACCTCTGAACAACCCGCAGCCATGCCGCTTGTCAAGGTTCCCACGGCGCGCGCCGTTGACGCAAGCACAATCGCCTGTCCCCGACGCTCTTTTTACGTCATCCACCAACTACCACGCCCCTAGGAATTTCTCCTCCTTACGCTGTATTACGCCGCTCTGGCCAGCAGGGGGAACCGTATTTTCGCGCTTTGAGGACGCGAGCTTAGAGCCTGGGATATGCATTGAGCATGCAGGAAAGTCAACTGTCTGCTCTTTTAAGGGCAGGCAAATATGTGTTTTCGTACAGAAGCTTATTGGATTAAGTAGGCAGCTTAAAAAGGGGGGTTTTCACTTTGATCATTTCCAGTAGTAAGGTGGTTTGGTAGAATTTTACAAGC